CACACACACACACACACAATATTCTGTACTGGTAAGACAGTGTTCTGCTAAAATTTCACATAAACATCTTTTGTAATTTGTTATGTTATAAAAAAATACTTCTTTACTGTGTCTCTTCAAACTTTCAATACTTGTTAAACAATATATCAACTTTTGTTGTTGCCAAGGCTACTTATAGACGCAATGAGAATAACCCTGATCTATTTAGTCAAATATACAATATTTTGTCTTATTCAAATCAGTTCTCTAAGGGCGCCTTTTGAATTTTTTTGGTAGTTGTCCTAACCATCTTAAAAAAGGCAAGTGGTACTTGTGAAAAGGCTAAAAGTCCATGGCTTACTTTCCTTTCCATACTCATGGGAAAGACACAGAAACAGATTGTGAATAACCCTGTGTACAAGTGAAGGCATGCCAGATATCCTCAATATGCACAATAATAGTTAAAGTATGAAAAACAATAGCTTAAACATACGTGCCTGGAGATGCACCTAAGACCCACGCAGCGTCATTTGGCAGATGTTGTGTAAACTACTTCGTTTCAAAACGCCAGTGGGCTTATGCATTGTTTTCCTATATTAGTACCCACATAAAGTCTAAACACCTTAATGTATTTGTCACTGTCAAAAGCTGAAACCGTCTATTCATTAATGTTTGAACTAACTCCCAGACATTTTAGGCTCCTGTTGTTTTAAAATCCATTAAAAACAGCTCACAGAAACATACCGCTGCCTTGACCTGAAACGATAAACATAAAACTGTTTACACTTCTTACGAGTGTTATTTCTGGTGACAGTGAAGAATCAAAACAAAACTTAAGGCAAAGGGGAGACAACATCTAGCTGAAGATCAGAACAGATGTCTTCACGTTCAAGTCTGGAAGAAGTGAAATACTTCTGATGAAAATGCAACTGCAATGACTGGAGTTGCAAAGTCAAGTTGAGAAAACAGCACAATAAACAAAACAATTATGGATTACAGGAGTCAAGCTGGTAGTGTGTCTGTGCAAGCTGTTTTTCCATGTATTTCTCAAAACCATATTACTCGACGCAATCTGTCTGCATTTGGACAGCAGAAACTTAACTGCGGCACGGTACATACTGCACATTGGTGGGTTTTTATCGGCAATTTAAAAAAAACTAACACTGCTGTTCTTACAGGCTGGTGCCATTATACACAGGCTCCCAAGTTGGCAAAAATATACATATATGGATTGACTGAATTAGAGTTGAAACAATTTGTTGATTACCTAATCAGTCTAGCAACAAAAAAGTCAGCTCTTGTGATAATTAATCAGTTAATTGTTTAAGTAATTTCTGAATTAATCTAAAAAATGGCCAAAAATTCATTGGTTGCAGCTTTTGAAATGTGAATACTTTCTGGTTTTCTTGTTCTTCTGTGATGATACCGAACTGGATATCTTTGAGTTTTTAAAGTTGGTCGAGACATTTTCAGACGTCATTATGAGCCTTTCAAACAGTCTAGCGGATTCATGCATAATTAAACTAATTGTTAGTTACAACTGTAGAGTAAATTTTGTTTTTAATTTTATAAAATGTATTTATTAAAAAACTAACCTGACAGCTTCATAAGCAGGTCAGTGGCTGTCTTGGTACTGATGTCAGGGCTGAAGAGTGAGGCTGTGGTTGGACCACTAGGACTGGATCTGACCCCGACTCCTACCCCAACTCCAGGTAGGTCCAGGGAGTTGGCACTGCTGCTGGGACGGTCCCTGCACATGCTAAAGGGGGAGAGCACAGACAAATCTCTCTCCTGTGGCTCCTCCTTGATGTGGACATGATTGGAGGAAGCCTCGACCGGAGGCGATGACTGCTGCTGAGTGTCTGAATGCAGTGGCGACACTTCCGTCCCCCTCAGGTCCCCGGAGCCGCTGTCACCCATCAGGGAGCCCTCGCCCTCCGTGTCGGTGGTGAGTTCCTCTTTCACCTTGACGTCTGTGCGGGGGAAGTGCTGGTGGCAGCGCATGTGAAGTTTCAGGCTGAAGTGACGGGAGGAGGTGAAGGGGCAAAGTTCGCACTGAAACGTCTCACCCCGGTCCTGGTGCTGATGTACCTGGAAAAAGAGGACAGGTATATGTGTTAGATCACTACTTGTCTCTGGCGTTACAGGACAACAAGGGAATGGGAAACATGGGAAAGATGGGATTCTTTGCTTTTCATTTCAGTCAAATTTATCAGTGAGGTGCTATAACAAACATGCAGTAGTGTTTAATTATGCCATGTAGTGGATATATTACAAGTCTAACTAAAGCATGTGTATCCTTTAATGTTAACAATTATAAGCCAAGAGCCATAATAGCCTTTAATTTAAGAGGATGCAAGTGAGGGTGACAAGGGGTGCCGGGTCACACGATGAAGAAATCCGATATCGTCTCACCTTCATGTGGGACTTAAGATTGTCTTTGCGAGCACAACGGAAGGGACACAGGGGACACTGGTGGCTTTTCAAGCCTGTGTGGATGACCATGTGTCTCTTCCAGTAGCTCTTGCGTTTGATGACCAGTCCACACACAGGACACTGGAATGGTTTGCCGCCATCCTCGGGAGAGCCTTAAGGACACAGAACATTGTTACCATTTACAAAAAACATTCAAAGAATTTTAAAAGTATGTAGAAATATGTACTATTCAGCTGAAACCTTTGTTACTGTGTAAAAAAAAACAAAAAAACAAAAAACATGCCTTTCCAAGTACAGACTACAGTATTCACAGATCTGGAAGAGACAACTACTCCACACCTAATGGTGAAAACTATCAAGGGAAATGCCAGCTGGAAGCAATGGAACAATGGAAGTAAAAACTCAAGCATGTTTTAGTATCTCGATTATTGTTGTTGGCTTCATATCCGGCATCCATTACTGTTTAATTGGTCTTATTAGAAAGAGGCATGATTGCATTACAAATTCTACAAGGGCCTGTCAGGATGGCTTCATAAGTATTCCAGTGCCGTTCCTTGAAAAACATCTGGTAATCAGTGTTTGGTGAAATTACTGTGCTCAGCCATTCATTGACCTGAGGTGTAAAACCTCGAGACTGCCTATTTGCAACAATAAACCGCCATCTGCGGCCCAACCTCTCCAAGCACAGCAGAGATCACAATGCAAAAATGACTTCTGCTTATTCTGAGCTGAGCTGAGTGGAGCGGAACTAAATCAGGAGAGAAATAATGTGTGTAAGTTTAGTACCTTCATTTTAGTGTTTAACATGCCTGTTCCCTATGTAATCACAACCATGTTTTAGAAAAAGGGAGTAAGCTTTGCTTTTACATTCCAAGTGTGCAACATACCCATGCAATACAGTTTTATAGTGGAACTGGCAAGGGACGACAATAAAACAAGACATGACAGTCAATAATCAAGGTCACATTTTTCAGTCTGGCGACCAAACAACTACCTGCATTTTTACAGCGCTGCTCGACCTTGACGGCTCACGGGTTAGAGCAGACCCCCTTTTTAGCATGCAGATCACAGAATATTACATCGACTGCCTCATCTGTCTGAAGTCAATTTGATCCAGCCATTTTAGATTTGGCGGGGTTGCGACACAATCCCTCAAAAGTGCCCATCCATCTCCCTGAAAACATTCTGTTCTCCCTAAAGGCTACTTAGTAAGAGCCTGCACTTTGAAGCTTTCTCTCTCCCTGTGCAAGAGCGAGATCTTTGTGTGCACCCTTGTTTGGGTTATGTGTCTACATCGGAGTACACACTTGCAGAATATACTGCATGGCCATTTGTGAGTAACTGAAAGAGAGCGCATAAGAGGGAGAGCGAAAGAGAGAGTGTACATGCACGCATCTGTATCCAGTCAGTGGAAAGTATGATGTGTTTGGCCTTAAGTCTGCTGTGCTGATCAGTGCAGAGGGCTCTGGTTAGTGGGGGTTGAAGCCAGGAGGAGGCTGCCGAGATGGATATGGACTCCAGGGCTCCCCACTGTGCCGAGCACACACTGACGGCCCCCTTTTGGCAGCACGCACATCCTAGCACAAACGAGCTGGTCTGGGAAGGCAGTGAGGTCTCAGTCGGAACCCCCCGTTGAGCCCACAGACCATTTCCCAGACTAGAAGGCCAGCCAGGACTGTTTTCTCTCGGCTATGCTCTCTGCTCGGCTGACAGTTAAGCTGAGGCTACACTACTCGCTACTTCAGCGCCAGTGAGGTGAAAACAAAACCATTACAAAACTAGAGAAAACATGTCACGAAAGTTCAGAATTGTGGTTTTTCTGATCGTACTTTGGTGACAAGTAAACCTGCTACTCCCCCACACAAAAGACTTTTTTTTCCATTTTAACATTAGTTCTAATTTATTAGTACTAAGAATTCTAATTTGCATTTGCATGACACAATTGGTGTTATTTCTTTGATAAATTCTGAATGGGGAAGTATAATGACAGGGGAAATATTTCTCTTGAACTTCAGGTACATTTGCACGATTATTTTTCAAAAGAAAGGGGCATGGGGAAGGCAGATGAAAAGTTTCCATAAACGAAGGGCAAATAAAATGTTCTTGAACCTTCGTAGTCTCTTTCTTCTATACAAAAAAAACTACCTTGTTTGAGCTTAAACAGCCTGATTCAGTGTTTAAGTCGAGGCAACAATTTAATGTGTTTTAGTGTTTTGTGACTGTGCCTCAATAAAGGAAAATAAAAAAAAAAACTTTTAACTGGAAAAATATCACAAAAATAACCCAAGCTGAGGTCTACTCTTATTATCTGTATTGGTGCGATCATTATTTTGTTAATGTAGTATTACTGTTGCTATGTGTAATGATTACCTGCTTGGCTGTTGGGTTTGCCTCTGCCCTTTGGGGTAGAGGGCAATAGCAACTCCAGGCTCTGGGTGGGTGTATTGGGTGTGGGAGCCTTCTGGTTCTTGTCAAGCAGGGGCTTCACATCCTCTTGGAGGACCCCAGCAGACGTCAAGGAGGAACTATCCTTCTTCTCTGCCAGCAGGTTTCCCGCTGCCCTGGCTGCCACCTCTTTGAGCAAGGCAGCAGAGGAGGTCATTGACACAAGTGAGAGGAAGGAACTGGCTGAGGCTTGGTGGTCAGGAGCAGCACTGGCCGTTGACGAAGCTTGGCTCCGCTCGCTGACTTTCTTGGAAAGTGCAGCGAGGGTGGAGCTAGCTGACTGTGGGCTGAACGGAGAGTTGAAGGCATCAAAGCGCACCACATCATCTCCTCGACCACCCCCTCCGAGGGCGGGCACTGCAGATGAGGCAGAGGTGGAGGAGGAGGAAGAAGTCGTTGAGGAGGCCACGGCATTCTTGTCTTGAAGTACAGCATTCGCTGCTGCTTTTAACTTCTGGATTGCAGAGTCGGGGGACAGGCTGGAGCCGCAGGGCGTGGAGCAGCTGGCCGGTGGCCACTTATCTGCAACACCTGCCCATACAAAGCCACTGCCGTTGCTAGGGGTGACAGAGTTAAAGGGGTCAAGGGGCTCTTGTTTAATGTTGGTGACTGAGGGTGCCAAGGAGGCTGGTGAGGCTGAGCCGCTGTTATTGTTATTGGCCAGTTTTCGGGCAAGAGCACTTAACTGCTGGGCATGGTGGGAAGACGGGGAGAGGGTCAAAGGTGGGGCTAGACCTATTGGAGGAGACTCCCCTCCAGCACCCCCCCTCGATGACCGACCCAGGAGCTCCCCAGTGTCAAGTTTCAGCGACCCAGCCTCTAGGAGGCGCCGTAGGTTGCTGCTGAGGGGTTTTCCCAGGGCACGAGATGCAGCCTCACCATACAGTGATGATACTACAGAAGAGAGTGTGTCCTGGGCCGAGAATGCACCTCCATCCAGTCCAAGAAGTTCCAAAGAGGCACGATGGATGGGTGTGGGGCAACCCAATGAGCTCTCACCTCCACAGGTATCTTGGTCCCCGGACCCAGTGCTGACTCCAGGCCGTTCATCGGGAGAGGAGCCCCGGGCCAGGAGGAGCTCATCCTGGGTGTCTCCATACGATGACGACTCTGAGCGTGTGTCAGAAGCATTCCCAAACCAGCCTTCCTCCTCCACAGGACCGTCATCAGGCCCCCCTTCCTCGTTGCTGTCCACATCTGGAAGAAGTGAGAGAACACGCAATTTACCGTGAGGGAACAAAAACAAAAGTATTGGGACAATGATATCGCCATGTTCATGCGAGTGAACAGTTAGACCGGACATTATCTTTCAACTGAAGACATGAGCATCCTAAGTAAGATTTGAACAACTATTACTAAGAGTTAAGTAGAGGGCATAGTCATAGCCTTTGGCTGACGGCAGCTAGCTTTTAACATTGGAAATTACTATTTACTATTCAATTTTATTTCCCATCCTTGCTTGTCTGATATTGCAGAGCAATTAGTGGAAGCCAAACTGAGACTACGATTTTGAGCGTTCATAAACACAATTGCCTGGCCAAACCCAAGTCAAATGGCCACTTAGAGCTGCAAAAATACACTTCAGTGCTCAGCAAGGAGACCATTAAAATGACTTCCAACACAAATTCAACCTCTTTCTTATATAATGGCAGCTTTCCACGAAGGCGCATCCAAGATGTTTGAGTAATTTAGATTTTTCTGTCCTTTTTTAACCATATTTTTCCCACCCTTGGTCTGGAAGAATCTAGTAAAGGGGTTACCATGACAACGGGTCCTTCTGGGAGGCTAGACAGCAAAGATTAGGGTAATGGAGGTTACAGAACTAGATTAATATTCATGAGCCTGCAGATACCACCGGGGAGCCAATAAGGATAGGGTTAAGGTCACCAAGGGTCATTAATATACACTTCATGTATCAATATTCATAAGCAAAACATTACAGCTTGCCAGACAAGGGCGAACAAAGAAAAGTGAATATTCCTGATACATATTAACAAACCTCCATAAGAATATGTCAAAAGCACCAAGCCTGGGCAAAGCAAAATGTCAAAACTGACTTTTTTTCCCTCCTCTTTGGGTTACTGTACACAACCTCACAAAACATCCGATAAAAAGGAATTGGCTGAGGTTTCTGCAAAATAAATGAGCACCGATACAGTTGCAGAAAACATGAGGCAACCAAAGAATTATTCTAAATGTCTCACACACCAAAATACATATATCCGCACACACCAAAGCTGTCTTCACCCTCGCGACCCTGACAGAGGCCTGGTGGGTCTGCTCTGTGTTTACAGGCAAAGGCAAAACGGTTGCCAGGCAACCCAGCCCAGCAACCTGTTGGGATCATTAGAGTTGGCTGACATCTGGCCAGCGTGGCTCACCGTGGTCCACAAAGGTGACCACGATCACAACCCCCTATGACCGCTACTCTCTTGCTGCAACAGATATCAAACACGGCGCACACAATAACATCTTCTCATCTCTGTCTCATACATACACACTTCCATCTGCCATTTTTTAGTAAAACATAACCAAGACCTGACAGAAAATGTCAGATGCCAAAAGCCAACGCAACGGATTATGTTATAATATTGGCCTTAGGGCTTTCCAAACTGTCTATAAACCCACGTCTAATAGACCTCAGCTAGACAAACAATGCAAGATGTAAGAGACCGACGAGCATAAACAGCATGCATGACCCGTCTCATTTGTTATGACTGTAAAGGTGAATGAAAACGCCATAATGCACTGATTGTGAACCCAATTTCCCATGCTCCTTGAAGCCTTTTTGCCACCTGAGTAGGGTTAACAGGAAAGAAAGAGAAGGAGAGGGAGAAAGAGCCAGTGAGTCATGCAGGGCAGGGCTTGACCCATTTCCATGTGACATGCGAAAAGCAGCAAGAGCCACTAATGGCTGTAATGTGGTTAGAGGGAAATCGCTAGATTGCTGACCCAGGGTCTCAGCTTTGAGGCTGAACTCTCTTGCTTCCGAGGTTCGCTCTTAAACCTCAGGGTTAGGTGCAACTGGACGCAACACTACACCACTAGGCTTCTGCCAGAGTGCCACAGCGCACTGATGCACTCCGCTACCATGGCTTTGTGTGTCACAGGCGAACCACCCCGTAGGCGGAATGACATTTCCCAAGGTCATGGTCTCCGGCACAAGCTCTAAGGGGGCTTCGCCTGAACTCTGGACTCGCGACCGCTGCTGTATGCCCACCACACGCATGGGGACAAACATACGCACGTGCGTACATATGTTTAAACTACACGGCCGAGAATCTGATTTAAATGCTGGAGTCCTCCCCCCACTGCATTTCTTTTTCTGACACACATTCAACTGCTTTGCCTCTAGTACGGTGGCTGGCTCGGCGACAGTAACTGCAAACCCGCCTCCCCAAGTAGATGTGATGGAGGCATGGAGATACGGGCCGAGGCGGCAAGCGTCTGCCACTGAAAGGGAACCATTTAGCGGTGTAATGGCGGGGATGACTTGCATGTTGAGACAAACAGCTGCGGGGTGCTCAGCAGTCTGGATCTGTTATCACTCACACATGGGTGATTCAGTGGTGCAGTGGCGAGGGGTTTTCTCTCTGGGACACAGAGATGTATAGCGCCACCACATTATAGACAAAGAGGGAGCCATAACAAGTCAAAGTGCAAGCTGAGGCTACATAAAGAGAGGGCCGCGAGGCTTTCCGAGACGGGCTAGAATTAACTGCCTTGAGATCGAACACAGATGTACACCGAGTTGCTAAAAATATTTTGATGTAGCACCTCTGTGACTTACTTGTGTGTTGTGCTAACCTGTCACAAAAAAAAGAGACGGGGAGCTCACAGCCTGGAACTACAGCTAAAAACAGTTGGACATTACAGGTAGTGTACTTGTTCATTGTTTCACCACGCAGTGCTGTCAACAATCTCCATTTGTGAACTTGGCAGGCTTATTTTGGCCGTGGCTTTTCTAGGTCAGAGAGGGAGCCATGTATGTGTGTGTGTGTGTGTGTGTGCATGCACATACGTATGGGTTTTGTACAGGAGTCAGCCAGATTTCCTTGTCACGCAGAATGGTCGCTGGTAGAGGGAAGAGCAAGGGACTGGAGTAAAGGTAGGTCATGAGGTCACCCACCACATGACTTGTGTGAGGCTGCTGACTAACATATTCCCTTCTCTATCTCTCTCTCCCTCTCCTTCTCTCATACACACACACACACACACACACATACACACACAAAGCTATTCTGTGACTTAGCCAGGCATGAAAATTGGCCTCACTGACCCCAGGCCTGAACAGGGTAGGGGGAGAGGAGACGGGAAGGCGAAGGAAGGGACAGATAGAAGGATGGTTAGGGGAGGGGTTGATTTGGCTGGGCAGGAACGAAGAGGAGGCCATTAGCCGATTAAGGCTGGACAGGGGTGCATCAATACTGTGCTGATGTCAAAATGAGAGTCATGCCCATGAGCTAATATAGCAATGAGAGTAAGAGAGGCAAAGAGAGAGGGAGCACGAGCTGGAGAGAGGTACTGCAGGTCGGGGAATCACTAAAATCGCAAAGATCGCTGACCGCAGAGCTATAAAAAGTGAGAGAACATAAAAAGGACTGCCACAACATACCAAGACTAAAGCCATCACATCTATATTGCCAAAATGATTAGTCTTACATCTTCCCTGCTACGACTGGGAAGGTGGCGACGTGTGCATGTGTGTATGTCTGTGGGGGGGTCGGTTAAGGAGATAGAGCAAGGGGTGAGGACATAGGAAGGAAGGCAGTAGCGCGGATTTAGTGAAGAAGGAGCCACAGCGGTAATTAAGTGTCCGGCTGGGCCCTGGCGGGGGTTGCCACGGCCGCGGGCTATGCTAATGAGCACGCCCGGCGGTCAGGGCTGCCTTATTAGCGCCTGCTGGACAATATGGTGGGAGAGACGCTCTACTGGCGGGCTCACGTCTCTGCAAATGACTAACAGTCCTCCTGAGGAGGAAGGTAATTCCATTAATTGAGATATACTGGATGAGGATCACTTCCCTTCACTTTTCCGTAATCTCTCACTTGCTTGATCCCTTTCACACCCACATGCTCCCCCCCCCTTCTTGTATACGTCTCCCTTCATCCCTTTCCCTCCGTCTCCTGCCTCCATAACTGGGAATGCAAATATTAAAAATAAATAAATTAAACACAGATGCTCTAAATAAATCCAGCTGGATGTGTGGGAGCTTGCAGACATTTATCCCCCCCCCCCCACATAATATTATACACCATCAATCTGTTAAACGCTGTTGTTCTTTTGCAGGAGCAACATGATAATTGCTCCAAAGTTTATCCATCGTGTTTTTCCATTAGGAAGTTGATGAAACATGACAACCAACAAGGGTATGGGCAAGATGTGTGATCGCTGAAGCAAAATGATGGATAATTATTTACATTTGAAGAACTGTGCCCTGTGTTGGTAAGTAAAACCACTCCTTTAAAATCAGCCTATTCAAATAAAGTGGACAATCTGTGCTCTTAATAGCAGTACTTCCTTCCACATACAGTATACATGTAGTTAATTATATAGTAGTCGTCAAGGTCTTTACTTTTAGCAACTTGCAAAACTGACAAATATTTTACTTCTACGCAAGAGTAACTAAACCATTAAACAGCCCTCTAGCAATTAATTATCTTGACATGATGTCTTGATCCAGGGGGGGAAAAAATCCTCCTGTGTTTATCAAGGTTCATGTTCAACATTCAAACATTATGAAAACTCAGACTCCGATGCTTCATTTCAACTCCCAACTATATCTGGTATCCCGTCCAACTGGTAGTCTGTGACAAAGGCATAAAGAGCCCATCTTTCAGTTGGTATCTGAGGTGAGGCGATACTCTCAGTAAGGAGCAGGGGTTCAGGCAGCAGGGCTATATATAATGGCGGTTGAGTCGTATTGAAATGTAGTGCAAATTACCATCTGTGTATTTTCGGCCTTGGCCTCCGTGGTTTGTGGGTACTTTGGGCGGCATGCCAGAGGTGAAACAGGAAGGAGAAGTGTTCTTGGAAGAGAATGAGACGACTGAGAGCCCCAGACCTCTGAAATTCCTCATTGCAGATGAAGTGCACTTTACCCCCTGGTTTATTTTTCCCTTCCATTTTTAGCATCTTGTGTTAAAAAAAAAAAAAAAAACTTGCTCATAACCTCAAATGTGTCATCAAAGCTATGG